TTACTGTCACTATCAGCCTTCTCCATATCTCCTTTTTCTTCTCCTTTAGATGGATCCTAAACTCCGTCCATCCTTCTCAGACCTCGTCAGGCACCTCGAGGAGATTTTCGCACGCCTTAAAGTTGAAGATATGGAGCACGAGTGTGTCCCGCTCACTGGGGACAATGACAAGAAAACCATAGCCAAAGGTAACAGTCCCCCCTCCCACCCTCACATAAAACTTCAGCTTCACAGTCCATAAAGGCCACGTCGTTTTATTTACACGAAGATGGTTGTAAATTCCTGCAAGGGGAGGTGAAAGGAGGGGAAACTGTAAGCAAACAAGGCAACAGAAATTTCCCCCACCTCGCCCTTGCCACTTACAACAGTACAGACTCTGCTTGTCTTATCTTCTCAGCCTGTCAACTATTTCACCATTTATCCAATGTCCAATCCAACTCTTCTTTTTCCTCCTAACACCACAGTGCTTCTCATCTCAAAGCAAACGGTCACTTACAAAGGTGCTGTTTACACTGCCCTCACCCTAAACATACAGCCAGGCTTGCTCAGGCCAGATTTTGCTCCTTCCAAACAGCCGTGTAATAGCCCTTATTTCACTGACGTCTGTATTCACTATTATCGCACTCAAGCGAGCTATTTAAAGTGCATCATGTTAACATTTATCTGAGTGTCCGTATCACTGACCCAGAGCTTTAACCGTGAATCACTTTGATTCCTGAAAATATAAACTTCATCCACGGTAGAAGAGGAAATTTGGTCAGAGATCAACATTCCTGCTTGAGACACTTAATCCATGCAGGTCCAGGTTTCACTTCTAATTTGGTCCCACGTAGAGCCGCCTGCATGTCTGACACATCATGGAGTCATGAGGAGCCTGTAATGATTTTGTTTAGGCAAGCCCCAGAGCTCCCCCCTTCCCCACTACATGTTATGTCACAGCTGTGACATAAAACATTTATACAGCTGTCAAGTTTATTGTTTTCTTTTTATCCAATGAAGGTGACAGAACATATAAAACGCAGTCTTATCCTGCTGGCATGAGGGTGATCCCTCATGTAGCTGTTACTGTGTGGAAAACAAGGCCTGACTGTGACACCTCTCATCAGCTGTTGGTTGTTACATCATAAACTTCCTTTTCGCCATTCCTCCACCCCTCTATGTACCCATCATCCTCCTCCACCTCCTCCATCTCCCTCTCTCTGCTGATAACATCAATGTTTCCCGAGACCAGGGTCGCCCTGACAGTAGGAAATGTTTCTGTTGCATAACGAAAACGTAAAAGCCAAATATTTTTCCAAAGTAGCCTTTTTTTAGTCCACATGAGTAAAAAGAGTTTCCTGGAATAAAGGAGACACCTGGGGTGCACTACAAGCTTTGAGAGGAGCTCGTTTGTTTAGATATATTTATGCTATGCTTGGAACCGTCTCAGTACTTAACATATTAAAATATTTATACAAGTAAACCCTTTGTTTTTGAACAATGTTTAACAACCACCGGCGAGACTGTTTCTTAATCCTCCTGCTTTTCCTGCCATGATTTCAGCGCTGCGAGAATTAAACCCGACCACACCACCGAAAACGTCTGTTTAAATAATCTCATGCAGCGCCTGTTATCATACAGGCTTTGATGGAGTATCTGCATACACGGCCTTTAGCCTATTCTGCCATCTAGTGGTTTTAAAATATTCCTGCTTCACCTTCAGTATGGCTGTATCGAAAGAAAACTGAAATACACTTCTGTATATTCTGTAGATTTTATGTAAGATGATCACAGAAAGCTCTTGTTCTCTTCATTTAAGGGGAGAAGATCCAAGGCTTCAAGCGAGGGAATCCTCTTGGTTTCCAAAACGATAAAATCCCTCCTAAATCACCCCGCCCCAGACGAAACATCTGGCTCAGCCGCAGCCAATCGGACGTCTTCTCCTGCAAGCCAGGAAGAAAAGTCAATGTCCAGGACCCTTACTATAACCCCCCTACTGCCAAGAGAGCCTCCAAAGCCCGCAAGATCAACCCTTTTACAGCCCGAGAAGATCTGTGCGGTGGGAAGATTAAGTTTTACGATGTGCCCAGCAAGTCCGTCTTCTCCCTGGTGTTTGACCTCCACTCGCCACCTGGAAGTGTGTTCAGTAACCAACCATGCGCTCTCGGGCCCGGAGGAGCCCAACAAGAGGTGTCTTATTACTGGCAGCAGCTGCCGGGAAGACAGTGTCACTCCTTACCGGTATCGCCCCAGCTTCCTCGCTCTGAGATCTTCCACCTCGCCGCTGCTGTTAGCACCAACAACGGTTCTGTTAACTGTAACTCCAGTCAGCTGTCCACAACTCTTCCAGGTGAGCTCAGCGAATGTTTGTGGAAAGATAAAAGATGAGCTTCAAGTAGAAAACAATCAACTAAAATTAGATTTTAGTACTTTGTGGCTAATGGTCCCTCTTTGAAGTGACATGTCAGGGACATTTGTGATTAACCAAGCAGTTTGCATGTAGCATGCAGCAAGCATTGTAAATAAATAACATTTTTAATTGCTGAGTGTTTAAGTAACTCTTTGCTTTGCAGTTTAAATTCTAAGCTAGAGGATTGTGAACTCATAATATGCTTCTTTTCAGCTAAGAGTGCACCATACATGAGGCGAGTAAGGTGATGATAACCAGAAATAAGAAACTCGTGTTCAGTGCTGCTTTTGAGCAGGAGAAAAGATCATGGTTTTAAATAAGAGGATAACACGTTATCTTCTGTCAGTGATGACCACAGTAATGACCAAACCATGTGTGTCATATTATTACATTACCTGTTCACTTTTAGGTTACTGTAACAGACATGAGTCATCATCTGTGAAGTCAGTTTCATTCAGTCTGTTTCATATAAATGAAACAGTGTGGGCCATTTCATTCTGCAGGAGCAGGAACAGAACAGTGTGTAATTATTAAGGCGAGTTTCCTCGTTCATCAGTTTTTGCTCCTTTAGTGTAGGTTGACAAGTTAATGCGATTATTTAAGTGTACATCTTTTGGGATGCATAAGAAAACAATTTGAGTTCCAGTGCAAAGAACACTGGAACAAGGACCATTACCATATCGATATGGTAATGGTCCTAGATGGTCCCACATAATTAGTAGCTAAAGTTTGGAAACTTGCATGGTTTAAATGATAAGCATGAGGTTGATGAATAACAGGCAATATTTGTCTGCAGACGCCGTGTGTGACCTTATTAAAGTCGTCCTTTATGATCTCAAAATAAGAATGCACTTTGAATGTCGGACAGGAAATTCCAGTGGCAATCAAATAGAGCAGCCATGTAACTGATAGTAGCTTTCCATGACTTAGTGTCACCGATTTACCCTATTTACACAAGTTTATGTTTAGCCATAGATCAACATGTGTATCCTACTCATAGTGAGAGAAATCTGTGTTCATCTGATCAACAACACTGCATCCAAACTACTTCAGATTTGGTTTGATGAATTATCAGGAGCCCGAGTTAAGTGCACTGCTGAGTTTGATGCTGCTTGGATGAAGGATGTGACAGACACACACACACACACACAGACACACACAGACTATTTTTGTTGCTGTTCTTTTTACAAAACAGTAACTTTATGATTACCTATGTGTGATGCATTAATGGACATCTGTAAATTGTAGCTACAAAAAGTTAAACTCAACATGATTTACAAGTACAGCAGTCTTTTTGTTGTAACCTTTTATCCTTACTCTTTCGGCTTTTCTTTTTCCACAGGTACTAACTCACGGTCTGATGCAGGCCAAATGGGAAATGACATCCGGCAAAAGGTGGCGCTGAGCAGCTGGGCGAAGAAATATGTTGTGGTTGAAATCCCACCCTACTGCGGGCAGAGAAGAGGGGAGGACGACGGGGAGGTAGAGGGAAGTAAGGAGGACTCGTTAGGGGAGAGCTGGTCTCCGATGATCCCCAGCAGTGAGAGAGACAGTGGTGAGGCCATGGACTGCTCGAGCAGCCCGGAGGACGAGCAGGAATGGGAACGGGGGACAAACACATGCCCAATGTAATGCACCCGCGCAAAATGCGTCAACACACTGAGGTGGTGGAAAAGAAAGCGGGGAGGACTCTGACTCCACAGAGGCAGCCGAAAACGGCTTTTAAAAGTAGACTGGACACATTTCAAATTTCTTTGGAGAATAAAAGATAAAAGGAAAAATCACTTGATTGTGATCTTTCAAGTGAATGTATCACCTGTTGACTCAATCAAGCACACTTGATTTGGATAAATAATTATTGTTCAAAGTTTCCACCCAGGTGTGAAAGTCAACAATAGCACAAAAAGCTTTTTATCAACACAACGGACCCTCTGCATAGAGATTATTTTTCTGAAAAGGTTGTTTATATTTAATATTGATGAGATGTAGATTTTTTTTTCTTTTTCCTCTAGTCAGTGTTTTGTCTATGAGGAGAGGTATTGAAGAGCCATTGTGTTGTGTTTAGGTTTTGATACTTTTTGTGTTCATTGAGAAACAAATGCTTATACTGAATCAAAAACCCCCGCATCAGATTTACAAGACCGTACGCTGATATTCAGATGAGAACGTGCCTAAAAGCACTCACGAGACAGATGTTTAATCTCTCCCCCAGGAGAAAAGGGTGACAGAGTTAAGGGTTTGTCAGTGATTTCTCTGTGAAATTGGGAAAAGGGTGGTTCCTCACTGCTCATTCCTGCCAATTTAAAAAAAACAACCTGGTGTCAGGCGACTGAAATCTTTAAGGAGCATTTCTTGTTCTTTTGACATTTTTTAGCCCGCTAACTTAAAAGAACAGAAAAAAGAGGAGAGATAAACTAGTCAAACGAAAGCCAGCCAGTCTAAGCATTTTTTATTTCTACCCTCTGTAGGCAAACATAGATATTGTAATAAATGTCTTGTACATTTCTGGACTTAAAAGTTGCTGTCAGGCCAGATTTCCAAAACAGTCCCTCCAAAAAAGAAGCAAGCCAAAACACAAGTTATTTACTTGGATGTGTTCCAACTCAAGACAAGTTTAAAGCCACACAATGCAAATTTTAAAGAGCAAAATTTAAATAAAAAGCCAAATCTGAGATCATACCACCACAAAGACTGAAAATCCTTCCATGCTATGCACTGAATTATCCCTGGATTCAGAAGGATATCTGGATCTAGCTTCATATACATCTCAAAAATATATCACAACTCTGTCTCCCAGTTTTGATCATGTAAAGTTTTGATGCAAAGTTTCCAGTTTTTCGCCATCTCTCGCTCTAGATTTGTATGAACTCCAAAAATGAATCACTCCTGAGTTTGCCAGGTCTCACCACTGATTTAAAAAAAAAAAAGAAGGGAAAAAAGAAGATAAAAATAATAATATTAAATAATCCGTCCATAATATTTGAGTGCTTCTACTAGCAGACGAACCATCCAGTGTGTGACGGGTTTGAAGTAACCTTCAAGTAACCTGCTTCCCACTTTACTCTTCTGATTAAGTATTACAGGATGAAGCTACTGAAGCATAATTAAATCCACTTTAAGGTTGATAATTGTAGCAAATGTTGGTAAACTATAGAAAAACGAGTCTTACGTCACACTTATAAAAAAACAGGATTACTGTAAGTCATACAAACAGTGTTATCAAACAGTCCTTACAGATTTGTGCGTTGTCAGAAACTTTTCATGGTGGTATTGTTTTAACATTGCTGATACTGGAATCACTTTACTTAAAGGACTCAGTTGATGATTGGGTTTAAATATGTTTTCCAGTTTAACGTCATAACCTGGAGTTTCAAAGTCTTTCATGGTGACTTTCTGCTCTAGTGGAGGGAAAACATTTAGGCAACAGGAAGTGCCGCAAATAAATGCAGTTGTTATTTGGTAAAACTGAATAATTACAGCGTACAGTACAGATTTTTTTTTAAAGCTGCTAACATTTGGTTCGGTTTGTTTAATGAACTATGAGACCCTGTGACTTGTTGTACTTTACACTCCACTGAATGTCTGATTTGAATCAGTCGTCTTTAGTTTTTCCATCTCCACTTTAATGAGTATTAAAATCCTTGTAAACGTCTATCCGAACAGCTCTCAGTGTAAAAACTAAATGCTCATAAAGATTAGATTCATAGTGTTGAACATCAACGCCGGTATTTTTTCCTTCGTGTGGCTTTTGTTGCATTCTGCTGATCTCAGTCTGATCCCTCTAATAAGAACTAAAATGCACACGTAGAGTGATATATACAGTCCTGTCCTATCACTACTCCTCTATGCAACTTTTAGCACAGTTTTACAGGATAAAAGATCTAATTTCATATTTATATTGAAAAAAAGTAATGTCTTACCTTTGTATATTTGTGTAAAATGTTTGTGGTACTTGCCTTGTCGAATACAGATTAAGATGTTTTTTGTTTTTCTGATTGAATAACAAGTTTGCCTGAGTTTTTCTTGTCTTACTTCAGGATGACTCCCGTCACCCTCAGAACTCACACTTCAGATTCCAGAGCCTATTTTAGCTTTCAGAAAAGGTCAACCAGTCAGTCTTTAATCAGTTTATAATCACCAATAACCCTAACAAGCATCACTGGGGTTGGAGGAGGAAGCTAGAGTACCTGAAGTACACGGGCAGCATGGGAACATTGAAACTCTAGACAGATTCAAACCCAGGAACCTTCTTGTTGTGAGGCATTCGTGCTGACCACTGCACCATCCTAAGCGAGATCTGTTTCTAAAATAAATGAAACTTTGTCTCCCCAATTTGATTTCCATGCCCGGAGACTGAAGACAAGCGATGCCAAAAGATGGTTAGTTTAATTCTCATGAGTCATATATTTAAATAAAGCAGTTCTGACACTTTCCAAAATCCTTCAAGTCTAATCTGGTTACATTTCTTTCAGTTTACTGAAATGTATTTATTGTAATGAGCAGTAATAGCCGTCCATCTGCAGGTTATCCAGTTCAGGGTCATAGGCCGAGAGACTTATCCCAGCTGTCACAGGGTAGGAGGCGGGGTACGGCCTGCAGAGGTCGCCTTTCTGTTTTATTACCAGTAACATTCAATAAAATTCAAATCAAACTTAATCCTCGATTGACTGTTTGTAAAAATGTGACCTAGAGGTTTAAACATACCACAGTTCCTACTTTAGTTTGCAGTTGTAAGAAGCTTTTTAAAACATACCTAATTTATAATCAAATGATTTCCAGCTTATAAAAACACTGACATTGTGCTTGAAAATGTAAAAACAACAACATGGGAGGGGAGGGGGTGTAGGGATTACTGCTTTTGTTAGAACCAGACAATCTCTTCTTCTACCCTCTGACGGCCCATCAGTTTTTTTGGTACTTCTTTGACTTACCTCCAGCACAAGTAACTCTGATGTTTAGTGGAAACACCAGACACCGATCTAATCTCTGATAGGGCTGAGATGTGTTCAAAGATGGGTTCAAGGACCAAGTTCAAATGCAGAGCAACTTTATTTACTTTTCAAATTTGCAGTTTGGGCTCCGCAGGAAAAAACCTATCAGGATTAAATTAGCATAAGTTACATGTAATAACAAAGGCAATGAATATGAAATTGGTAATTTAGGAAAAACAACACGGTTGAAGATGAAGAGAGAAGAATGGGAGATAGAAAGCCTCTTTAGCTTTTCATTAGCCTCGCATTAAGGCTGATGGATTAACACATAAAGCTACGTTTCATGAGTCTTTAAGGTGATTTGAAACCAGTAATTAAAAGGATTGAAGCTAGCATTAGTACTGCAGTCTGATCACAGGCTGTATATGAAAGATTGACATATCCTTCAGGTCTGAATTTTAAGCCATTGGAGAAGTGCTTTAAACCTGCATTCTTTTTAAAAGCCAGTAGAGGGCGACTCTAAAAAAAGGAACTCCGTTTTACTCGGTTTGTGACCTCAATAAACATTTCATAAACACTGAGTTTATGTCTCACTGAATAAATTTGTTCCTAGTTGGAGTAAAACAGATGTGTTATACAGGGCATGTTTGAGGAGTTGATGAGTTTATTTCCACCCTTTACTCACCACAGCTGGTTTAAAAAAAGAAAAATAAACATAAAAAGATAAAACACTTAATAACAACTTTCCACAATCCATCTTTTCCATGCAGCCTGTGTGGCGCCTGACGGAAACACATTAGCCGGGCCATAAACTTGACTGTAGTTTTATAATTCTGTACCACTCAGTCTAAAATTATGTGTATATGTAACATCACGAAAACAAAAGCAATTATAAAAGCCATGAAAATGTTCTCCACACGGGCAGCGGTTGTATAAAATAAACGTTATAAGTGTGCTGTTTTCTGATGAGACTTGAGGCTGGAGCGCTGGGTGAAGCACTTCCCGCACAGCGAGCACTCGTAGGGCTTCTCCCCGCTGTGGACCACCGCGTGTCTGATGAGGTTGCACTGTTTGGTGAAGCTCCGGCCGCACTGCATGCAGCTGAACGGCTTCTCGCCCGTGTGACTCCTCAGGTGCTCTTTGAGCTGGCTGAACCTGGTGAAGCTTTTGTCGCAGTACGTGCAGCTGAACCGCTTCTCGCCGAGCCCGGACCTCCAGGGCGTCCTCATCCTCCTCGCCAGGCTCAAACTGCTTCCAACTCTGTGTGTGGCGAAGGGGCCTGCGGGGTTCGGCCCAGTCCGGCCCTCGTCTGGATTACTCGTTTGAGTACAGCTCTGTAACTGTTGAGGAATCAAGGTGGGATCTGTGGAGTTAATCTGAGATGCAGAGTTTTGTCCTTCCTCTGACTGTGGCCTCTTACATCCAAAACTTCTGCCTCGTCTTTTCAGTCGTGCGGAACTCAGCACAACAGAATTTAATTTCCCAACAGAGTGAACTCTGGGTGCCACATCCTCCAAATGCAACAGGGCTGAAGATGCAAATGCAGCAGGAATCTGCTCAAACTGCTGCCCGGTGTACGGGACACCTGGGTCCCCCGTGTCTCTGCACACGCTGGATGGCCACAGCTGCCCCTCAGCTGTCTCTGTCACAAACGTGTGGGCTGAACCGAGTGGAGCTGCGTCCTCATCCGCCTCTTCCTCTTTCTCATGTTTCACTACGAGTTCGATATCATTTTGGCCGCTGTTCAGCTGCTGTTCTGGGAAAATGCTGTAGCCGTCTACTTGGGAAACCAGATCTTCAGAGAGGGCCGGGTTTTCAGCCGAGTGGTAAAGCTCCGCAAAGCTGTCGCCCTGGGCAGGTTTTGTTGTGTCGAAATACGGCTGATGCTCGGCTCCAGAGACTAAAGAGAGCACATTACCAGAGAGATGCCTTTAATAAAACCTTTAATCATTTAGAGCAAAGGTGTCAAACATAAGGCCAAGTCTCCAGAGTCACCCCACTGGACAGCTTTGGAAAATGTAAAGGAGGGTGTAAATTTTTAATATATTTATTTTCATATATTTCTGTATTTTCATAAATTTGACAGCTTGGCCTACTATTAAAGCTCTTCCCTGTGGCTATCCACATTACACCAATGTAATTAAGTAATAATTAAACAATTAAATTAGAGAAAATCTCCTGTTTTTTT